TTGCTTACTTACTTACTTTCGCCTGTTACCCCCAATGGAGCATAGGCCGCCCACCAGTTTTCTCCAACCAACTCTGTCCTGGGCTTCCCTTTCCAGTTCTGTCCAATGTTTGTTCATTCCCCTCATATCTTTCTCTATTTCTCGGCGTAGTGTGTTCCTTGGCCTTCCTCTTTTCCTTTTGCCCTGAGGGTTCCATGTGAGGGCTTGTCTAGTGACGCAGTTGGGTGCTTTTCGTAGTGTATGTCCTATCCACTTCCACCGCTTCTTCCTGATTTCCTCCTCCATTGGAATCTGACTTGTTCTCTCCCACAGTTCGTTGTTGCTGATGGTGTCTGGCCAACGAATACGAAGTATTTTGCGTAGACAGCTGTTAATAAACACTTGTATCTTCTGAATGATGGCTTTCGTAGTTCTCCATGTTTCCGCTCCATACAGTAGAACTGTCTTGACATTTGTATTGAAAATCCTGATTTTGGTTTTGTTTGAAAGTTGTTTGGAGTTCCAGATATTTTTCAACTGTAGAAATGCAGCCCTTGCTTTGCCAATCCGCGCCCTCACATCTGCGTCCGATCCACCTTTCTCGTCGATGATGCTGCCAAGATATGTGAAGGTGTTAACGTCCTCCAAGGCATCTCCATCAAGCGTGATTCGGTTGGTGCATGTTGTGTTGCATCGGAGAATTTTGCTTTTTCCTTTATGTATGTTGAGACCTACTGCTGCAGAGGCTGCTGCTACACTCGTCGTCTTCTCTTGCATTTGTTGTTGAGTGTGCGATAGAAGAGCCAGATCATCTGCGAAGTCCAGATCGTCCAGCTGCGTCCTAACTGTCCAGTTGATACCGTGATTCCCTCCAGATGTTGACGTCTTCATAATCCAGTCGATGACCAGGAGAAAGAGAAAGGGTGAGAGTAAGCAACCTTGCCTGACACCGGTCTTCACCTCAAAAGAGTCTGTCAGCTGACCTCCGTGTACGATTTTGCAGTTGAATCCATCATAAGAATTCCGTATGATGTTGACAATTTTCTCAGGCACGCCGTAGTGTCGAAGAAGCCTCCACAGTGTTTTCCTATCCACGCTATCGAATGCTTTCTCGTAGTCGATGAAGTTGATGTAGAGTGGTGAGTTCCATTCAATTGATTGTTCCACAATGATCCGTAATGTAGCAATTTGGTCAGTACACGATCGATCCTTACGAAATCCAGCCTGTTGATCTCGAAGTTGGGCGTCTACGAAGTCCTTCATTCTGTTTAACAATACTCTGTTGAAGACTTTGCCTGGTATTGAAAGAAGAGTGATGCCTCTGTAGTTCTCACACTTGCTGAGGTCGCCTTTCTTTGGTATTTTGATCAGGTATCCTTCTTTCCAATCTGATGGTACTTGTTCCTCATCCCAAATCTTCTTGAAGAGAATGTGAAATATTTTCGCAGTTGCTTCCACATCTGCTTTCATTGCCTCTGCGGGAATGTTGTCTGGTCCTGCTGCTTTGCCGCTCTTGATTTGTCTGATGGCTATACTGATCTCCTCAATCGTAGGTGCGCCAATATTAATTGGGAGGTCCGTGGATGCTGCTTCGATGTTGGGTGGGTTCAGTGGAGCTGGTCGATTCAATAGTTCCTTAAAGTGCTCCACCCACCTATTTCGCTGTTCGTCAGTGTTGCTGATTATTTTCCCTTCCTTGCTTTTCACTGGTCGTTCTGGTTTACGATAGTTTCCGGCGAGCTTCTTTGTAGTTTCGTACAATTGTCTCAAGTTTCCTTCTCTTGCAGCCTTTTCCGCCGTCATTGCTAGATAATCCACATATTTTCGTTTGTCAGCTCTGATGCTCTTCTTCACTTCCCTGTTTGCTTCTGTATACTCGGCTTGCGCCTTAACTTTCTCTGCTCTTGTTCGGCAGACATTGATAGCTGCCTTCTTGTTCCTCCTTTCTTGAATTTTTTCAAGAGTACCAACAGAGATCCATTCCTTGTGATGGTGCTTCTTGCGACCAAGGACCTCCTGACATGTTGAAGTGATTGCCTCCTTAATCCCTTTCCAATTGTACTCCAATGTTGCTTCCTCTCCATTGAGTAGATCCTGAAAGGCCTGGAACCTATTGGTGAGGGCTATCTTGAATTCGTTGAGTTTTACGGTATCCCGAAGAAAGGCCGTATTAAACTTCTGTGATGTTGTCTGCCCCGTTGTCCAGTGCTTCTTTAGCTTCAATCTCATTTTGGCGATCAGCAAGTGGTGATCTGAAGCTATATCAGCTCCTCTCTTGGTTCTCACATCCTCCATGGTCCTTCTGAACTTTTTGTTGATACAGATATGGTCAATTTGGTTTTGAGTAGTGTGATCCGGTGAAATCCATGTAGCTTTGTGTATGCATTTGTGCGGGAATATTGTGCCACCGATGACTAGTTTGTTGAAGGCACATAGGTTTGCAAATCTCTCACCGTTTTCGTTTCTTTCTCCCAGTCCATGTCGTCCCATGATGTCTTCATATCCAGTGTTGTCCATTCCAACCTTGGCATTCAGGTCTCCCATAAGAATCGTCAAATCCTTTGGTGAACATTTATCGACGACTGACTGCAGCCTTTCGTAGAATTGATCTTTAACGTCGTCATTGTAGTCATTGGTAGGTGCATAACATTGGATGACGTTCATTGTAATGTCCTCTTTCTTTGTTTTGAAGGATGCTTTAATGATCCTGGGTCCATGAGATTCCCATCCTATCAGTGCCTTTTGTGCATGTTTGGACAGCATCAATGCAACTCCTTGTGTATGTGAAGCGTTTTCCTCTTCATGACCAGAGTATAACAGCATTTCCCCTGAAGCAAGTCTCAGTTGTCCTACCTGTGTCCAATGTGTTTCACTGATTCCAAGCACCTCGAGGTTGTATCTTTTCATTTCTGCAGCAACTTGAAATAGTCTTCCAGTCTCCCACAATGTACGAACGTTCCATGTACCTAAAAAAATGGTTGCTCTGGTTGTCAGAAGAGGCATCGGCCCCGTGACTTCCGAGGGAACTCGGCTTTCATCACGAGACGTCATAATTCTTCTTCCAACTCCCAGGGCAGAGTTAAAATGGTTTGAATTATTTTTTCTGGTTAGCGTTTTTTTGGCAAGTTAGATTTCAACGGAATGGGGCCGCCAACCCCATGTCCAACCCTCCTCCTTTATCCGGGCTTGGGACCGGCAGTAGCCCCTAAGGTTCTACTGGCGGAGTTATATAATGTGGAAGGAAGCACAAAAATAGTTGTGGACTTCTCATCTGTGACAGTAATGTATTTCATAACTCTTTGAGTAGGAAGAATTAATAACTTCATAACTTCAATCAATCTACGATATTGCGTGTCCATCATGCCTTGTCCTTAGTGAGTAACTGCTTCACACCCAGCACATTTGAACTTCACTAGTCACGGTTTCTCCCTCAAGGTCTAGGTCTAGCTAGTGGATGTGCGAATGAATGAATGAGATTAAAATGTTCGTATATAAACAAAGAAAAATGCCTGAGTCATCGTGATATTTAAGAGATTAATATTAAAGCGAATCGGATGAATATGCGCGTAGGTGTAAACAATGTTCAGTCATACCAGCTCATACAAACCACACAATGATGAAAGCCAACGGTACTTATAAGTTATTGTTATACAAATGGCTTGGTTAAATAAATTAGTCAAAAGGCTTGACAAAATTAAATGTAAGCGGAAATATATGTGGAGGCACTACAAGTCCATGATTTCAATGAAAATCAACAATCTTTGCAACTCTATACTGATAAGTTATTCATGACTAATTGATTACTTATTTGTGCATTGACTGTAATCATCGGATTGTATCGGGTTACGAGACAAATATAGAAATGTGAAACTTGGACGTTAATTTATGTAGTGATAGGCAAACGGATTATGTAAGGTTCACTTTTCACTGTTGTCCATTGATAATTCTCAAAGACGAAAGCGCTAATTAATGTAGTGACTGAAGAGATTAGTGCTTGTTAGTGAAAGTTGATTGCTTTCCTTTTATATTAAAGTGATATACTTATTCCAATTATCAGCGATTTTTATTTATTTACTCTGATGAAGTGACTTACATTAAGTCACGAAACGTTAGAAATTACAAATTTTTACTCATTTCCGAAAATTTTAATTATTTTATTATCACTAATAAAAAATTGTTATTTATTTATGAGTGATCAAAGGATATTCTTTCTCAAATCAGTTGCTAGTTCGTTATATTTAAGATATTACTTACAATTCTGACTATACTTCATCATAACTTGTGAATTATTAATGTTTAAGGTGTTTGCAAACTGTATGATGACTACACGGTTTTCAGAAAAAACAAACAAAGAATATTCACATGAAATCGGAAACGATTTAACTAGGATCATAGGTAATCGGTTCATTATCACGTAATTTAATTTCTGTGTAATGATGACTCATTTCATTAGGTAAATAAAACTAAGGAAAAAATATTTTTACCAGAGTTACACTTTGAAGACAGTTTTCATCAAGTGGAGAACCACTAAGAACTAAACATCTGCTTCATTCTTGTCCTAGGCTCTATAGGCTCTCCAGGCTCTCTCTAAAGCCTATGGAATCAACGCCACGTTCTTTAGGTTTTGTGGCAATTTCGATAATTTTAGACAAATTAGAAGGAATCAAAGAATTGTAACTCCCATTTTAGTTAATAAGTCATAACGTTTAAACATAAATCACTGTTATCGATGCTGTTTTCTTGATTCTTAACAAATTTGAATCTCTTCAATCATAATTCTTTAGGAAAATATCAAGAATTCTTTTAATAATTAGTCACTACTGTCAAAAAGAAATACGATTGTAAATTGCAATTTATCATTATTAAAATTTCGTTTGTACCGTTGTCGGTATTCAGCAATGAACTATGTGTAGTCTCTATTGGTAATTGTGAATTGAATGCAGATTGCCTCTACTGTATGGTTGAATCCCATTCTTTGAGTTTAAGAACGAAGCACCATCCTAATTATCCACCTGAACTATGAATTTTCTCCATTATCTCGTTGCCCCGACGTACCGAAATTGTCACAAGTTTTAAAAGGAATAGATGGATTGTGGCTAGCGATGTGATAACTGTAACCTAAGTACAATTCTAATAACCATACTCCTAGCACAAGCTATTAATAGTCTGAATTCGGTTGCTCAGTTGGTAATTCGTTGAGACCTTTATCAAAAGGTACCGGGATTTAGTCCCTACGTGAACGTCAACGTGGATGGAGATATATACATATGATGAAGTTCAAATGAGAGCGAACGCACTCACTAGATTCCATTGTAAGTCACGTCCCATACAAATTCCGATTAAGCAAAAAGCAGCTTTCTATTGATTTAATGTTCATGGTCGACTCTCTAATGATTGGTTACATAACTTTACTCTTGAAATCATAAATCCATCAAAGTTAGACCACCGTTAGAAACCTGGAAGCACTGGACAGCCGTTTCGTCCTGATATGGGACTCATTAGCAGTGCGCATCCACAACCCCAGCACCTCTCAGGATTCGGACGCAGGACCTTCAATCTTGCGAGCGATCGCCTAACCTCTGGACCACTGAGCCGGTATCTAGCGGTGTTAATGTCTAACTGTGATTGATTCACAGTCCTGTGTAATCACATACACAGTCTTCAGTAGTTACTATCTACACCCAAAAAGGTTGAACTTCACTAGCTACGACTTCTCACTAGTACAGGAAAAGCGTCCTCACGAAGTTAGACATCGTTAGATACCGGGCTCAGTGGCCCAGAGATTAGGCATCCACGCGCAAGGTCGGAGGACTCGTGGATGCGCACTGCTGATGAGTCCCATACCAGGACGAAACGGCCATACAGTGCTTTTAGGTTTCTAATGATGGTCTAACTTTGATCGACTCATGATTTCAAATGTGTGACTTAACAGTCTTCAAAACCCCGTATTATAATTTTACTTATTAAAAACTAGTCGACCATCAGTCTCAGCTCTTTGATTGTTCAGGCTTCATCATCATCATCCTCATCATCTTTATTATAATTATTTTCCTGGATATTTTGAAGAATTCATTTAATATGGAGTGTTTACCTTTGATTTAACTTTCATGTGACAGTTAAACGAACTAATCTTGTATAAAATAAGCATAGCGGATTAATCTAAGTGTACTTTATGTTGAATTGAATATCATTGTAATAAACCTGTTTTTTTTCTTCTAATTGTTACTATCCTTATTAACTAGTTTTTGTTATGAATTAATTTTTCTTTTATTTTGAAACATAATTCTTTACATTAGTTTATTATTTTTTTTGATGATGAAATGAACTTTATATGTTCACACAACTATTGTTTATCATGACTTGAAATGATCAAATTGTATTGTTTTTTTTTGTTGTTGTTGTTGATAATAATGTTCAAGGAAAATCAGGTTATTGATATTCATTCATTGTTTTATGTTTTAACTAATTATTCTAACAATCTTGACTTATTCAATAGGTATTTAAATTTTTAAATAAACAGTGATTTTAGCCTTGTTGTTGTTGTTGTTATCGTTGAAATAATAAGTTTACTGTCTATTGTGAAATGCTTAATGAAGTACTTATCATCATTTAGGTTTTGTACTTTTTTATAAAAAAAAATTTGGAATAAACGAATAGGAAGATTGAAATCATTGTAAACTCTTAAAATGTTTCTTCAAAATGATACTGAGAATATAACGTCATTAAATAATAGAATTTATAAAAGTGAACTGTTTCTAAGGTGGTTGCCTCTCATTTATGATATACAAGTGGTAATATAAAATTGAAATCTGTACTTTTTACACAAAGAGAAATCAAAATATACATTATGTTCGTTTGTTCAAGTTAAAATAAATAAGTAGTCAGCACACTTTTTTTACTCACTTCCGATGTTACGTTGGTCATATTTTTAAATTTTGAAAATTAACGCATCCTATCATGCCTCAAAGTATATAGACTTTAGACTAATTCATCTATTTACTATTTATTCATTGTTCTACAGTGTCCTGGTCTAGTTCACATTTAAATAAAATGTCAAAAATAGAATCTTATCTTAATTTCGAAAGTGTTGTTTCAGTGAATAAGTAAACATCGGATCTTCATCACGAAGTTGCGTTTTTTATCATCAGTCATGAGTTATTCGACTAACTAAACAGAACTACTGAAGATCTTAAGATTAAATATTTGATTGCATAAAAATAAACACTGACAAAATTATAACTAATGAAGCTAATAATTAATGACTGTAGTTAGAACAAAAATATTAACTAACTATTTCAGTAGTATCCTTAAAAAAGAGAAAAATAATAATTCTGACTAAGTCCTGATAAGGATTTTTCCTCAATAACAGTTATTCATTTACTTAGGAATTTATACAGAGAAGTTCGGTATCATACGTTTTAACACTGGTAAAGCAATTCAACTGAATATGATATATTCAAAAAAGTGATTTTAAGCATCATTATTGAAAAATTAATGCTTTATACTGATGAGAACAGATACTGAGAAGCAAGAGCTTAGCCTTGAAACTACTCTGATGGTTATAAGTTTAATCCTTCACCGATAAAAATGAACGTTATAATAATTCATCGAACTAAACTTTGAAAGGTTATATGCACACTCCACCACTCTACTAAACTTCAAGACATGTTGGACAACTGTTTTGTCACAGTTTGATACAAGTTAAAGATGTTCACGAATGTAAAATCTTTTTCTTCTGAAGGATTCATAAAAATCGTTTCATCTACCGAATATGATAGAGACCTGTTCTGGCAAAAATACATCATAAAGATTTATGGTGAAACAATACCATGTATAGCTTTTTGTTATGAAGCAAACTCAAGTACCTCATGTTCATATGCAAACTAGTGTAGAGTTTCATTGCTTTTGAAGGAAAAAAAAAAAAAATCCTCGGCTGTGATTGATTACTGTGTTATTTTGGTGTGTTATTTTTGTGACTCTCCCAAGTACGTTTCTATGATGTATAAATAATCGCCATTTATGCGCTTGAGGTCATTGTGCTTGCTGGGTATTTGTAGAATACACTTTCTACGCTATATCAGAACTTTTTCGTTAGTTCCTTAGGGGCAGTCGATCAGAGTGGTATAACGTGTCACTGGTTCATTGTCTCGTTATCGTTTATCGACTAAGGTGATCTCGTAATAGTTTCAAGCATAGAAAATGAAGTGCATAACACTATTATTATTGGTTAAATTATGTTATCTAATATTCTCTTAAATTTTTCCTATTTCAACTTCGAGAAAAAATTTTGATGCTGATTAGCAAACAGATTACTTTCAATTACGAAAACAAAGTTATAATATTATGGTAAGTAAAGCACAAAATAACGACTTATAAAAATGTGACTATTTATTGATATGCCTTTTTCTAGAAATAGTAATGCTTTTTCGATTAAAATCGTTGACGTTATTCAAAGGTGTTTTGTTACTTGATTCGAGCGCTCTTTAATTAGTATTGATCGTGCTTTTATGCATTGAAATTTAGAAAGAATGGAAACATTGAAAAAGTCAGGTCAGTACACAACATAACAAGTTGAACCTTTTTTGTTCAAACTACTTTAGATACGTAAAGATTTGTTTCAAATAAAAGCAGTCTTCTATATACATAATTAGTGAGAAGTGAAATGAAATGAATGTGACGAGAACAGATCAAATTACAATTGAGTTACTAGTTTTTTTGTTTAAAATCTTTTCTTTTCGTTTTCATAGATATAAGTGAATCAACTAGCTTGTTTATTTTCATAATCCTATTTTATTGTAAACATTTTTCGATTTTGCAATGGAAAAAGTTGAAAAGCTGTTTGTGATTGATCAACAGTTAACCTCTCAGAAAAACATTTTTGATTATATTCATGTATTTACACACTGTGACACGGCTAAATTTGTCTTATTAATTAAATTTTTTTGATTTTCATTAACAGAGAATATAATAATTTAAAAGACAAGATCAAACAATTAAACTTTTACAAAGTTCATCCATCAATGAATTCATCAATAGCTTCAAACGATACAAATAACACTAAACTGTTTCATTCTAATACTTCTTCCACCCACACACATAAAATTTCAAAGGTTTGTCACGTGAATGTTATTCTACTCAGAATGATGAACATTGATGATTCAATATCAAATGCTGTTGTTAGCTTTCTCATTAATATCATTGTTAAAATCCATCCATCAGTTCTTGTGAAAATGTATTTCTGAAGGAAGATATTTCTCGTGCTTGCATTCTTGTTGTAGAAAAGGTATTTGAAATTCCAAACAAAGTAAATTTCCTCTACACTGTTAGCAATCCCATTAGATTTATCATTCATTAAATTTAGATAAAGAAATATAAATTATCAAGAAAACTAATTCAAAATCGTTATCTTTAACGTTATCAGTCAAGCAGACAGATAAAAACTATGAAATTAATGTACTGATTGAAAGTTCAGTTTCTTAACATTTTATTAAATATTAGTTGCATAATTCTTATGCCACCTGACTACCTTCAGCATTGTGTAGATTATCACTCATTAACTTAAATATTCATTGACTTTTTATAATATATCTTCATATTATCGTTCTTCAAATTGTTTGTAAAATCAACTGAATTCTCGACTTACTACTTCAATTTTTAGCTGTGAGTACGAGAATAAATATCTATATATGTACTGTTTAATGGCTTTTCACTACATCTACACTTATTAACTTAATGTAACTAGTAAGTTCCTTGGTTTTGCACTGTTTAGTAATTTTATGTTTCAAAAATAGAAGTGTAATTTGTTACTTCATCTCCATTACTCTGTTTCCAGAGATTTCGCTATTAGTGAGTACATAATGTGTAATTCAAGTTTAGTAAGTTTATATTCGATTGTAACAGCCATAAATGGTATCAATAAATAAAGTAATTGACAAATATATAATACAATTTTCTAGTCTCTTTTTTATAATTAGTGAGAATTATAGGTCATTCGCATTGATATGTCACTGTTATTAAAAATTCCTGCCAATAACAATACAACAACTAAAGTAGGCGTCGGTATAAAAAAGAGATCACATTTGAAAAGCTTGTTAGAATCTTTCGCCAACAGAGATTTGTGAAGTTACTATGATACCGCTGAAAGTGATCACTGTAATAAACACATTTAGATGGAAATTTTTAAAAATAAAATTGAAAACATACTTAGGCAGAATAAAATTAAACAAATCAGCGATTTATACACTAAAATATAATTTTTTTAATGCTTCAATTATCCGTTGTACCTAATTGAGCTTCTGCTGATCAGTCAGGTAAAAATCGATAACAGCTACACAAACCTGTAGTAAATAAAAAGGTTTTTGAGTAGATGAAATTCAAACAATACATTTGTTGATGGATAGATCATAGTTTGCTTAAAAAATAAATAGCTTTCCATTAAGCAATAAATAAATAGAGCTAAAAACCACTTTTGATATGAAATTAAGAACGGCATATGCTTGTATGTCATTTGGCTATTTCTTTTAAGTTGAAGAGTAGCAGGTATTATGATTTCGGTCTTATAATTAAAAAAATGGCTCACTCGATACACAAGATGAAATTATTCCAATAACTCCGTTAACAAATATTCATCATTTCATCAATATGTCAGTGTACTTTTGAGAACAATTCAAACTAAAAACTTAATAACTCACTGAAATAAGTAATGTGCAACATAAAACTTGCAAAAATTACTCCTTTCGTTCGCATCACCAAATAACTTCAATTCGAAACTCCCAATACACATTATTTTGCACAAATCATTAATGTGAGATATTCGGATATCTGTATGATGGTTATTATAAAACCTGATATCAGATGATTTCATGTAACATCTAATACGCGACTGCATGTTAGTTATTTGATTAAAGATACGACAGAAAATACACAATTACGAAAAGTATCTTCATATTACAATTCATTTCATGTAGTTTGCATGACCTCAGGTTAAATGAGATAGTCAACAATATCTTGCAAACATGTATAGCACGGAAATAATTGTAATTACTTCACTGATCATATTTTTCTTATTGAAGGTGTCCATTATTGGATCATCATTTGCTTTTTGCAAAAGTTTTCCTGTTTTTGCATTTTGTGATTTTTAATTATATGAGTCACGTGAATATTTCATGATGTTAAAGTGTTTTCAGTATTAAATAAAGTATATCTTATCATATAGAAAAGTAATCAAAACTTACTAAGAAATTAAGTCATATAATAATCGCTTCACGGCTCTGTGAGCTAAGATGATGTGTAATTGTTTTATTATAATAAGAATTACAAATCTATGCCATGAATTCATACCGCAACTGTCTAGTGTGGTCACACGTACATAATGAGGAGTAATCGGACTTTGAAATCGAAGGTTATGGAACATGTACCTAAGTGGCTTGAAAATCAGTTAACGTCAGATGAGCCGATTAGCGTGGGAAATAGAAAACCACGTTCATTGATCGCAAAACACAATTGAGACAGGGCATAAGATTGACATCAAGGTAGCCTTCAAAATAGTGTATAGAAATGTTGAAGGAAGAATTTTGAGGTTTATGGAGGCCTTGGCTATTCGAAAATCCAAACTCCCCTTATGTGTACAGAAACAGTTTGTCATAACCTTGAATTTACCCCGGTAATCTTTAATGCGCATTACGGGGTTGTGAAGATTGTTAAGTTACACATTTTTGAAACCATGAACCGATCAAAGTTAGACCACCATTAGAAACCTGGAAGCACTGGACAGCCGTTTCGTCCTGGTCAGGGACTCCTCAGCGCAACTCCGTGAATCGATCAAGTTAGACATTAACATCGTTAGATATCGGCTCAGTGGTCCGATGATTAGGCGTTCGCCTACAATACTGATGGTCCTAGGTTTGAATCCTGCGGGGTGCAGT